TGATGGTTGCAGCTCCTGCCTCACTTCCACAGCTGGGCTGGGCTGGGCTGGGCTGGGCTGGGCTGGATGGGGGAAGGGGCAAATGGCCAGGGGACTTTGTAAGCCAAAGCAAGAGACGGAAGCCCCGTGGGGCCAGGCGCAGTTGTGCCAGTGGGGCCGTCTCGGGGGGGCTCGGGGCTCTCTGTGGTGGCTCTGGGGCTTTGTCCGTTTGGCCAAGAGACCCCCCGGGATCTCCCGAGGAGGACTTGGCACTGAGTGTTAGAGAGGATGCCCAGAAGGCCCTGAGCAGGGGGGTGGGGATGAAGGGCGGGGCTTGTGGGCCGGCTGATGTGTCTCTGGTGGCTGTGACATCACAGCGGACAGGTCACAATGGGAGCTGTCCCTGAGGAGCACAGCAGGCAGCCCCAGGGCAGTTGGACTTGGGCGATCAGTGAGTGCAGATGCAGGGGGAAGGCTGGGATGGATGGGGGAGGGGGGAGATGCCCAGGGGGGGTTGTAACCCTGAGCCAAAGCTGAGTCCCTCCCGGCAGGGCCGAGTTGTGCCCCGGGGGCCTGGCACACAGGTGCTCAGGGCTCTCTGTGTTGGCAAGTGCCCAAAGAGCCTTTGGGGATGGGCCGGCTGCCCCCGGCTCCACGGGACGCTGTGGTGTGGCGGGGATGGGGCCTGGGGAGACTCTGCTCGGCTGTCTCTTGCCTTTTGCCGGGGCACAGCCCAGCCAGGGCCGCTGGGGAAACTTGTCTCTCATCTCCTGCAGGCCATGGATTCAGCAACTCTGCTCCTCCTGGCTGTGCTGGCCATCCTGCCCAAGACGACACAGGATCCCCAGAGCGATGCGGTCAGCGCGCGGCGGATGACCGAGCGTGCGCTTTTTGTGGAGCAGAAGATGACGGAGCTGTGGGAGGAAGTCGAGTGGAGGAGGGCCCTGGCCGATGTTCCACTCCTTTGGATCTTGCAGCACTGGCTCTTCTGGCTGGCTGCAGCAGCTGGGCTGGGCTGGCTGGCCTGGCAAAGGGAGGAGGCCTCTCGCCGGCGCCGTGAGCAAGAAGAGCTCAGCGCAGCAGCCGCTGCTGGCGGGCCTTTTGCAGCGCTCAGCCTGTCACCGCTGCAGGACCTGCCCTTCATGGGCCGGACCCTGAAGAAGCTGCTGCGGGACCTCCTGGAGGTGTGCCAGGTGCTCTCCCAGAACACCTTCATGCCAGAGCTGCACCTGGCCACTGGGCAGCAGGGCACCTGCATCGAGTCCTGGCATGAGCTGGGGGACTGCACCGTCTACCAGCTGCTGCTCTTCCTCAGGCCACCCCCCTGGCACTCTTTCCGGCTGCAGCTGCCCGACGCCATGGACGTGCCACACTCCATCCGTGTGCTGCTGGAGTGCTCGTGTTCCAGGACGGCGGGGAACATCTTCTGCTTTGTCCACCCCACCTACAACCACCAGCACTCGCCCCTCGTGCGCACCCTCTGCACAGACTCCCACTTGGAGGTGCAGAAGGTCGCCGGCTGGCTGCCCAGACTGGTGGAATCGGCCTGGGAGCGTTTGCCTCAGTGGCACGACTGGCAGCTCCGGCTGCTGCCCTCCTCCCGCTCCTGCAGGCTCCTGCTGACCGGCCCCGGCCAGGTGCGGCTCTGCGCTGTGCTGCTCTTGGCACTGCAGCAGGGCCGCCCGGGCACCTTCCTGCTCCTGGAATAGGCAGGCGCAGCTTTCCCGGGGGCTGCTTTGGGCCGGGGCTGCGCGGCGACTTGGGAGCGCACCCAGTCGGCACGGCACAACAGACCCTTGTGCTGACTGGACTGAAGAGCAGCACTCCTGGCTCTGTCTACTCCCAACTCCCCATGTGCCCTGCTCTGCCTTAAGCCCAGCTGCAAATGGAGCACCAGCAGCCACTCCCTCAACTGCCTTCCGTTCCCTGCCACCCTGGTGGAATGGGGGCAAGAATCCCAACTCCAACTTGGCAGAAAGTTAACTTTAAGACTACCCCCAACAATAGGTTTAGGAGTAAGTTTAAGAGTAAGTTTAGTTCCTAGGCATAATAATAGTCATAGTAATAGTAATAATAGTAATAACTAGTTTAAGATAGATCATTTTAATAAGAATTTAGTTTTATAAAACTCTAAACAGTAAGGTAGATAACGTTAGCTCCCAGCTCCCCACGTCCCCTGTCCTGCTTTAATCCCAGCCGGAAATGAAGCCCCAGCAGCCACCCCCTCAAGCCCCTTCCCTTCCCTTCCCCGCCACCCTAGGTTCATAATAGCTTTCATTAGAACTTTAGTTAAGTTTAATAATTATAAGGGAAACATAGATAAGTTTATTACTAACAATTTAGTTTTAAAAAACTCAAACCCCAAACCTTTATAAGGGTTTCTAGTGAAAAGCCAAGTGGAGTTCAGTAACAGCGGTAATTAATAAGGGAGGGGATCACACCAAAGGCGAGGGAAAAGCCCAGACAAGTGGTGCCCAATAGAGCGGCTCCCCCACAGCTGAGCCATGCCACACCCCCCTTGCGGAACCCAGGTGGGCCCCCCTTCCAGCTCCCTCGCCCAGTTTCTAAGCTGGACATGACCTTGGGCGGTGTGCACCAGAAAGACAGAACGGAACAGTGTGCAAAGGCCCAGGGGAAAGCACCTAGGAAAGGGAGGAACCTGGACTAGTGTGAGAGAAAGGTCCCGGTCCTTCTGGCTGGACCTTCAAGCGTTCAGCCAGCAGGGCATCGCCCACAAGGTGCCTCGGTCCTGAGGCACGTGGCGTCCTGCTGCTGTCAAAGGCCCTCTCAAGGCGGCTGCTCCAGCACTCCTGGGGCAGCAGGACAAGCCGTCAGGCTCAGAACAGCCCGTGGAGCCTTGAGACCGAAGGCAGCAGCAGAGCAGCAACTGCACGGGGAACGTTCTCAGGTGCAGACACGGCGCAGCTGCTCGGGATCTACTGCGCCCAGAGCAGAAATAAAAGAAAGAGACGATCACACACGACTATTTGCGTGGTAATTCTACAAGGATCTCCCCGGCCCGCATAGCTTGGGAGGCAGGGATTGCCCACCCGCCCTGGTGAGGGACAAACCGCTCTGGTGCGGCCGGATGTCACTCGGAGCGCAAGGCCGAAACCCAAAGCCCACGTCCAGCGCTTTCCCTCTTGGAGAAGGCCTTGGGGGTGGTGGAAGACACCTGAAAGGCAGCAACTCGAGAAGCCCATCTTGGCAGAGAGTGCAGCACAAGTCCTCCAAACACGCACGGGGCACCCACAGGATGGGCTCCTCTGCGCCCACTGTTCCGCTGTGCCCGTTGTTCCCACCCAGCTGCAGCACTGGCTTCACACACAGCCTGGGGAGAGCAGAGGGAGCTTTCATCTCCTCTGCCTTCCTGACTCTGCTCGCGGCGCACAAGCCACAGCAAAAGCATGCGCGGTGCCCAGGGAGCCAGTCCACCCGGACAGTGGCAGCAGCCACTGCCCCACCCGCTTGCTGCCTTAGATGCTGTGCCCCGGCTGCTCAGAGGGAAGCATCCCAGCTCTGTCAAATTCAAGGGACTTGGAGTCTGTTGCCAAAGCTTTGGTATCTGCAGAGGACCTTGGAGCCGCACAGTCCCCAACCGGACTCGGGTCACAGCCTCTCTCCGCAAGCTCCCGTGTCTGTCTGGAGGCGCTGGCAAGATTGCTCTCGCCGGGCTGATCCATGCAGAGTCTCTCGCCCCTGTCTCTCTGTGGGAGCTCGTTCTTTCTGAGCAAAACCAATCAGCAAAACTAGAAACTTCTCCTAAGCCCACCTCTGTGGCAGGCCTGGGAAAGCCATGACGTTTGTCTAGGAGCTCTACCGTCCACCCGGCCGGAGCAATTCAAAGCCAACCAGGTGGAGCAGAGGAAGGCCTGCTGTAGGCCTGCTCTGTCCCGTCAGGACTTTCAGGGTCTGCAAGTGAGCTCTCGAGGTGACAGGTAAACTTCCGCCTGGGAGCTCAAGCTAGAGCTGCACCTCCCATCTCCACAGCCCACAGTATCCCTGAGGCACTGTCTTCTGTCTTACGCAAAGCCTTTCCTTCTGCAAGGCCGCTCGGCCTTAGGAATAAAGAGAACAGGCAAGTCCGAGTCTCTGCCCATTGGCGAGGTTTATTTGCTATTGCCGAGGCACACGCCAGACTTTAGCTTTTAGCCTCCAGAAGACCAGGCTCAAGCTAAGCCAAGCTTAGCGCCATCTCAAGGCTCCTTTGCAACTCACAGGCCCCTTCAGATTCTGCCAGCCAGGGAAATCTTTGGTCTGTGATGGTTGCAGCTCCTGCCTCACTTCCACAGCTGGGCTGGGCTGGGCTGGGCTGGATGGGGGAAGGGGCAAATGGCCAGGGGACTTTGTAAGCCAAAGCAAGAGACGGAAGCCCCGTGGGGCCAGGCGCAGTTGTGCCAGTGGGGCCGTCTCGGGGGGGCTCGGGGCTCTCTGTGGTGGCTCTGGGGCTTTGTCCGTTTGGCCAAGAGACCCCCCGGGATCTCCCGAGGAGGACTTGGCACTGAGTGTTAGAGAGGATGCCCAGAAGGCCCTGAGCAGGGGGGTGGGGATGAAGGGCGGGGCTTGTGGGCCGGCTGATGTGTCTCTGGTGGCTGTGACATCACAGCGGACAGGTCACAATGGGAGCTGTCCCTAAGGAGCACAGCAGGCAGCCCCAGGGCAGTTGGACTTGGGCGATCAGTGAGTGCAGATGCAGGGGGAAGGCTGGGATGGATGGGGGAGGGGGAAGATGCCCAGGGGGGGTGGTTGTAACCCTGAGCCAAAGCTGAGTCCCTCCCGGCAGGGCCGAGTTGTGCCCCTGGGGCCTGGCACACAGGTGCTCAGGGCTCTCTGTGTTGGCAAGTGCCCAAAGAGCCTTTGGGGATGGGCCGGCTGCCCCCGGCTCCACGGGACCCTGTGGTGTGGCGGGGATGGGGCCTGGGGAGACTCTGCTCGGCTGTCTCTTGCCTTTTGCCGGGGCACAGCCCAGCCAGGGCCTGGCAAGGAGGGTCCCAGCTGGGGCAGGGTGGGCCCTGTGCCGTCTGCAGCCAGGGGCTGCGTTCCCTTCAAGCCTTGATCCCCGTGCTCCCTCCCACCCCGAGCCGCTGGAGAAACTTGTCTCTCATCTCCTGCAGGCCATGGATTCAGCAACTCTGCTCCTCCTGGCTGTGCTGGCCATCCTGCCCAAGACGACACAGGATCCCCAGAGCGATGCGGTCAGCGCGCGGCGGATGACCGAGCGTGCGCTTTTTGTGGAGCAGAAGATGACGGAGCTGTGGGAGGAAGTCGAGTGGAGGAGGGCCCTGGACGATGTTCCACTCCTTTGGATCTTGCAGCACTGGCTCTTCTGGCTGGCTGCAGCAGCTGGGCTGGGCTGGCTGGCCTGGCAAAGGGAGGAGGCCTCTCGCCGGCGCCGTGAGCAAGAAGAGCTCAGCGCAGCAGCCGCTGCTGGCGGGCCTTTTGCAGCGCTCAGCCTGTCACCGCTGCAGGACCTGCCCTTCATGGGCCGGACCCTGAAGAAGCTGCTGCGGGACCTCCTGGAGGTGTGCCAGGTGCTCTCCCAGAACACCTTCATGCCAGAGCTGCACCTGGCCACTGGGCAGCAGGGCACCTGCATCGAGTCCTGGCATGAGCTGGGGGACTGCACCGTCTACCAGCTGCTGCTCTTCCTCAGGCCACCCCCCTGGCACTCTTTCCGGCTGCAGCTGCCCGACGCCATGGACGTGCCACACTCCATCCGTGTGCTGCTGGAGTGCTCGTGTTCCAGGACGGCGGGGAACATCTTCTGCTTTGTCCACCCCACCTACAACCACCAGCACTCGCCCCTCGTGCGCACCCTCTGCACAGACTCCCACTTGGAGGTGCAGAAGGTCGCCGGCTGGCTGCCCAGACTGGTGGAATCGGCCTGGGAGCGTTTGCCTCAGTGGCACGACTGGCAGCTCCGGCTGCTGCCCTCCTCCCGCTCCTGCAGGCTCCTGCTGACCGGCCCCGGCCAGGTGCGGCTCTGCGCTGTGCTGCTCTTGGCACTGCAGCAGGGCCGCCCGGGCACCTTCCTGCTCCTGGAATAGGCAGGCGCAGCTTTCCCGGGGGCTGCTTTGGGCCGGGGCTGCGCGGCGACTTGGGAGCGCACCCAGTCGGCACGGCACAACAGACCCTTGTGCTGACTGGACTGAAGAGCAGCACTCCTGGCTCTGTCTACTCCCAACTCCCCATGTGCCCTGCTCTGCCTTAAGCCCAGCTGCAAATGGAGCACCAGCAGCCACTCCCTCAACTGCCTTCCGTTCCCTGCCACCCTGGTGGAATGGGGGCAAGAATCCCAACTCCAACTTGGCAGAAAGTTAACTTTAAGACTACCCCCAACAATAGGTTTAGGAGTAAGTTTAAGAGTAAGTTTAGTTCCTAGGCATAATAATAGTCATAGTAATAGTAATAATAGTAATAACTAGTTTAAGATAGATCATTTTAATAAGAATTTAGTTTTATAAAACTCTAAACAGTAAGGTAGATAACGTTAGCTCCCAGCTCCCCACGTCCCCTGTCCTGCTTTAATCCCAGCCGGAAATGAAGCCCCAGCAGCCACCCCCTCAAGCCCCTTCCCTTCCCTTCCCCGCCACCCTAGGTTCATAATAGCTTTCATTAGAACTTTAGTTAAGTTTAATAATTATAAGGGAAACATAGATAAGTTTATTACTAACAATTTAGTTTTAAAAAACTCAACCCCAAAACCTTTATAAGGGTTTCTAGTGAAAAGCCAAGTGGAGTTCAGTAACAGCGGTAATTAATAAGGGAGGGGATCACACCAAAGGCGAGGGAAAAGCCCAGACAAGTGGTGCCCAATAGAGCGGCTCCCCCACAGCTGAGCCATGCCACACCCCCCTTGCGGAACCCAGGTGGGCCCCCCTTCCAGCTCCCTCGCCCAGTTTCTAAGCTGGACATGACCTTGGGCGGTGTGCACCAGAAAGACAGAACGGAACAGTGTGCAAAGGCCCAGGGGAAAGCACCTAGGAAAGGGAGGAACCTGGACTAGTGTGAGAGAAAGGTCCCGGTCCTTCTGGCTGGACCTTCAAGCGTTCAGCCAGCAGGGCATCGCCCACAAGGTGCCTCAGTCCTGAGGCACGTGGCGTCCTGCTGCTGTCAAAGGCCCTCTCAAGGCGGCTGCTCCAGCACTCCTGGGGCAGCAGGACAAGCCGTCAGGCTCAGAACAGCCCGTGGAGCCTTGAGACCGAAGGCAGCAGCAGAGCAGCAACTGCACGGGGAACGTTCTCAGGTGCAGACACGGCGCAGCTGCTCGGGATCTACTGCGCCCAGAGCAGAAATAAAAGAAAGAGACGATCACACACGACTATTTGCGTGGTAATTCTACAAGGATCTCCCCGGCCCGCATAGCTTGGGAGGCAGGGATTGCCCACCCGCCCTGGTGAGGGACAAACCGCTCTGGTGCGGCCGGATGTCACTCGGAGCGCAAGGCCGAAACCCAAAGCCCACGTCCAGCGCTTTCCCTCTTGGAGAAGGCCTTGGGGGTGGTGGAAGACACCTGAAAGGCAGCAACTCGAGAAGCCCATCTTGGCAGAGAGTGCAGCACAAGTCCTCCAAACACGCACGGGGCACCCACAGGATGGGCTCCTCTGCGCCCACTGTTCCGCTGCGCCCGTTGTTCCCACCCAGCTGCAGCACTGGCTTCACACACAGCCTGGGGAGAGCAGAGGGAGCTTTCATCTCCTCTGCCTTCCTGACTCTGCTCGCGGCGCACAAGCCACAGCAAAAGCATGCGCGGTGCCCAGGGAGCCAGTCCACCCGGACAGTGGCAGCAGCCACTGCCCCACCCGCTTGCTGCCTTAGATGCTGTGCCCCGGCTGCTCAGAGGGAAGCATCCCAGCTCTGTCAAATTCAAGGGACTTGGAGTCTGTTGCCAAAGCTTTGGTATCTGCAGAGGACCTTGGAGCCGCACAGTCCCCAACCGGACTCGGGTCACAGCCTCTCTCCGCAAGCTCCCGTGTCTGTCTGGAGGCGCTGGCAAGATTGCTCTCGCCGGGCTGATCCATGCAGAGTCTCTTGCCCCTGTCTCTCTGTGGGAGCTCGTTCTTTCTGAGCAAAACCAATCAGCAAAACTAGAAACTTCTCCTAAGCCCACCTCTGTGGCAGGCCTGGGAAAGCCATGACGTTTGTCTAGGAGCTCTACCGTCCACCTGGCCGGAGCAATTCAAAGCCAACCAGGTGGAGCAGAGGAAGACCTGCTGTAGGCCTGCTCTGTCCCGTCAGGACTTTCAGGGTCTGCAAGTGAGCTCTCGAGGTGACAGGTAAACTTCCGCCTGGGAGCTCAAGCTAGAGCTGCACCTCCCATCTCCACAGCCCACAGTATCCCTGAGGCACTGTCTTCTGTCTTACGCAAAGCCTTTCCTTCTGCAAGGCCGCTCGGCCTTAGGAATAAAGAGAACAGGCAAGTCCGAGTCTCTGCCCATTGGCGAGGTTTATTTGCTATTGCCGAGGCACACGCCAGACTTTAGCCACCAGAAGACCAGGCTCAAGCTAAGCCAAGCTTAGCGCCATCTCAAGGCTCCTTTGCAACTCACAGGCCCCTTCAGATTCTGCCAGCCAGGGAAATCTTTGGTCTGTGATGGTTGCAGCTCCTGCCTCACTTCCACAGCTGGGCTGGGCTGGGCTGGATGGGGGAAGGGGCAAATGGCCAGGGGACTTTGTAAGCCAAAGCAAGAGACGGAAGCCCCGTGGGGCCAGGTGCAGTTGTGCCAGTGGGGCCGTCTCGGGGGGGCTCGGGGCTCTCTGTGGTGGCTCTGGGGCTTTGTCCGTTTGGCCAAGAGACCCCCCGGGATCTCCCGAGGAGGAGTTGGCACTGAGTGTTAGAGAGGATGCCCAGAAGGCCCTGAGCAGGGGGGTGGGGATGAAGGGCGGGGCTTGTGGGCCGGCTGATGTGTCTCTGGTGGCTGTGACATCACAGCGGACAGGTCACAATGGGAGCTGTCCCTAAGGAGCACAGCAGGCAGCCCCAGGGCAGTTGGACTTGGGCGATCAGTGAGTGCAGATGCAGGGGGAAGGCTGGGATGGATGGGGGAGGGGGGAGATGCCCAGGGGGGGGTGTAACCCTGAGCCAAAGCTGAGTCCCTCCCGGCAGGGCCGAGTTGTGCCCCGGGGGCCTGGCACACAGGTGCTCAGGGCTCTCTGTGTTGGCAAGTGCCCAAAGAGCCTTTGGGGATGGGCCGGCTGCCCCCGGCTCCACGGGACGCTGTGGTGTGGCGGGGATGGGGCCTGGGGAGACTCTGCTCGGCTGTCTCTTGCCTTTTGCCGGGGCACAGCCCAGCCAGGGCCGCTGGGGAAACTTGTCTCTCATCTCCTGCAGGCCATGGATTCAGCAACTCTGCTCCTCCTGGCTGTGCTGGCCATCCTGCCCAAGACGACACAGGATCCCCAGAGCGATGCGGTCAGCGCGCGGCGGATGACCGAGCGTGCGCTTTTTGTGGAGCAGAAGATGACGGAGCTGTGGGAGGAAGTCGAGTGGAGGAGGGCCCTGGACGATGTTCCACTCCTTTGGATCTTGCAGCACTGGCTCTTCTGGCTGGCTGCAGCAGCTGGGCTGGGCTGGCTGGCCTGGCAAAGGGAGGAGGCCTCTCGCCGGCGCCGTGAGCAAGAAGAGCTCAGCGCAGCAGCCGCTGCTGGCGGGCCTTTTGCAGCGCTCAGCCTGTCACCGCTGCAGGACCTGCCCTTCATGGGCCGGACCCTGAAGAAGCTGCTGCGGGACCTCCTGGAGGTGTGCCAGGTGCTCTCCCAGAACACCTTCATGCCAGAGCTGCACCTGGCCACTGGGCAGCAGGGCACCTGCATCGAGTCCTGGCATGAGCTGGGGGACTGCACCGTCTACCAGCTGCTGCTCTTCCTCAGGCCACCCCCCTGGCACTCTTTCCGGCTGCAGCTGCCCGACGCCATGGACGTGCCACACTCCATCCGTGTGCTGCTGGAGTGCTCGTGTTCCAGGACGGCGGGGAACATCTTCTGCTTTGTCCACCCCACCTACAACCACCAGCACTCGCCCCTCGTGCGCACCCTCTGCACAGACTCCCACTTGGAGGTGCAGAAGGTCGCCGGCTGGCTGCCCAGACTGGTGGAATCGGCCTGGGAGCGTTTGCCTCAGTGGCACGACTGGCAGCTCCGGCTGCTGCCCTCCTCCCGCTCCTGCAGGCTCCGGCTGACCGGCCCCGGCCAGGTGCGGCTCTGCGCTGTGCTGCTCTTGGCACTGCAGCAGGGCCGCCCGGGCACCTTCCTGCTCCTGGAATAGGCAGGCGCAGCTTTCCCGGGGGCTGCTTTGGGCCGGGGCTGCGCGGCGACTTGGGAGCGCACCCAGTCGGCACGGCACAACAGACCCTTGTGCTGACTGGACTGAAGAGCAGCACTCCTGGCTCTGTCTACTCCCAACTCCCCATGTGCCCTGCTCTGCCTTAAGCCCAGCTGCAAATGGAGCACCAGCAGCCACTCCCTCAACTGCCTTCCGTTCCCTGCCACCCTGGTGGAATGGGGGCAAGAATCCCAACTCCAACTTGGCAGAAAGTTAACTTTAAGACTACCCCCAACAATAGGTTTAGGAGTAAGTTTAAGAGTAAGTTTAGTTCCTAGGCATAATAATAGTCATAGTAATAGTAATAATAGTAATAACTAGTTTAAGATAGATCATTTTAATAAGAATTTAGTTTTACAAAACTCTAAACAGTAAGGTAGATAACGTTAGCTCCCAGCTCCCCACGTCCCCTGTCCTGCTTTAATCCCAGCCGGAAATGAAGCCCCAGCAGCCACCCCCTCAAGCCCCTTCCCTTCCCTTCCCTTCCCTTCCCTTCCCCACCACCCTAGGTTCATAATAGCTTTCATTAGAACTTTAGTTAAGTTTAATAATTATAAGGGAAACATAGATAAGTTTATTACTAACAATTTAGTTTTAAAAAACTCAACCCCAAAACCTTTATAAGGGTTTCTAGTGAAAAGCCAAGTGGAGTTCAGTAACAGCGGTAATTAATAAGGGAGGGGATCACACCAAAGGCGAGGGAAAAGCCCAGACAAGTGGTGCCCAATAGAGCGGCTCCCCCACAGCTGAGCCATGCCACACCCCCCTTGCGGAACCCAGGTGGGCCCCCCTTCCAGCTCCCTCGCCCAGTTTCTAAGCTGGACATGACCTTGGGCGGTGTGCACCAGAAAGACAGAACGGAACAATGTGCAAAGGCCCAGGGGAAAGCACCTAGGAAAGGGAGGAACCTGGACTAGTGTGAGAGAAAGGTCCCGGTCCTTCTGGCTGGACCTTCAAGCGTTCAGCCAGCAGGGCATCGCCCACAAGGTGCCTCGGTCCTGAGGCACGTGGCGTCCTGCTGCTGTCAAAGGCCCTCTCAAGGCGGCTGCTCCAGCACTCCTGGGGCAGCAGGACAAGCCGTCAGGCTCAGAACAGCCCGTGGAGCCTTGAGACCGAAGGCAGCAGCAGAGCAGCAACTGCACGGGGAACGTTCTCAGGTGCAGACACGGCGCAGCTGCTCGGGATCTACTGCACCCAGAGCAGAAATAAAAGAAAGAGACGATCACACACGACTATTTGCGTGGTAATTCTACAAGGATCTCCCCGGCCCGCATAGCTTGGGAGGCAGGGATTGCCCACCCGCCCTGGTGAGGGACAAACCGCTCTGGTGCAACCGGATGTCACTCGGAGCGCAAGGCCGAAACCCAAAGCCCACGTCCAGCGCTTTCCCTCTTGGAGAAGGCCTTGGGGGTGGTGGAAGACACCTGAAAGGCAGTAACTCGAGAAGCCCATCTTGGCAGAGAGTGCAGCACAAGTCCTCCAAACACGCACGGGGCACCCACAGGATGGGCTCCTCTGCGCCCACTGTTCCGCTGTGCCCGTTGTTCCCACCCAGCTGCAGCACTGGCTTCACACACAGCCTGGGGAGAGCAGAGGGAGCTTTCATCTCCTCTGCCTTCCTGACTCTGCTCGCGGCGCACAAGCCACAGCAAAAGCATGCGCGGTGCCCAGGGAGCCAGTCCACCCGGACAGTGGCAGCAGCCACTGCCCCACCCGCTTGCTGCCTTAGATGCTGTGCCCCGGCTGCTCAGAGGGAAGCATCCCAGCTCTGTCAAATTCAAGGGACTTGGAGTCTGTTGCCAAAGCTTTGGTATCTGCAGAGGACCTTGGAGCCGCACAGTCCCCAACCGGACTCGGGTCACAGCCTCTCTCCGCAAGCTCCCGTGTCTGTCTGGAGGCGCTGGCAAGATTGCTCTCGCCGGGCTGATCCATGCAGAGTCTCTCGCCCCTGTCTCTCTGTGGGAGCTCGTTCTTTCTGAGCAAAACCAATCAGCAAAACTAGAAACTTCTCCTAAGCCCACCTCTGTGGCAGGCCTGGGAAAGCCATGACGTTTGTCTAGGAGCTCTACCGTCCACCCGGCCGGAGCAATTCAAAGCCAACCAGGTGGAGCAGAGGAAGGCCTGCTGTAGGCCTGCTCTGTCCCGTCAGGACTTTCAGGGTCTGCAAGTGAGCTCTCGAGGGGACAGGTAAACTTCCGCCTGGGAGCTCAAGCTAGAGCTGCACCTCCCATCTCCACAGCCCACAGTATCCCTGAGGCACTGTCTTCTGTCTTACGCAAAGCCTTTCCTTCTGCAAGGCCGCTCGGCCTTAGGAATAAAGAGAACAGGCAAGTCCGAGTCTCTGCCCATTGGCGAGGTTTATTTGCTATTGCCGAGGCACACGCCAGACTTTAGCCACCAGAAGACCAGGCTCAAGCTAAGCCAAGCTTAGCGCCATCTCAAGGCTCCTTTGCAACTCACAGGCCCCTTCAGATTCTGCCAGCCAGGGAAATCTTTGGTCTGTGATGGTTGCAGCTCCTGCCTCACTTCCACAGCTGGGCTGGGCTGGGCTGGATGGGGGAAGGGGCAAATGGCCAGGGGACTTTGTAAGCCAAAGCAAGAGACGGAAGCCCCGTGGGGCCAGGCGCAGTTGTGCCAGTGGGGCCGTCTCGGGGGGGCTCGGGGCTCTCTGTGGTGGCTCTGGGGCTTTGTCCGTTTGGCCAAGAGACCCCCCGGCATCTCCCGAGGAGGAGTTGGCACTGAGTGTTAGAGAGGATGCCCAGAAGGCCCTGAGCAGGGGGGTGGGGATGAAGGGCGGGGCTTGTGGGCCGGCTGATGTGTCTCTGGTGGCTGTGACATCACAGCGGACAGGGCACAATGGGAGCTGTCCCTAAGGAGCACAGCAGGCAGCCCCAGGGCAGTTGGACTTGGGCGATCAGTGAGTGCAGATGCAGGGGGAAGGCTGGGATGGATGGGGGAGGGGGGAGATGCCCGGGGGGGTTGTAACCCTGAGCCAAAGCTGAGTCCCTCCCGGCAGGGCCGAGTTGTGCCCCGGGGGCCTGGCACACAGGTGCTCAGGGCTCTCTGTGTTGGCAAGTGCCCAAAGAGCCTTTGGGGATGGGCCGGCTGCCCCCGGCTCCACGGGACGCTGTGGTGTGGCGGGGATGGGGCCTGGGGAGACTCTGCTCGGCTGTCTCTTGCCTTTTGCCGGGGCACAGCCCAGCCAGGGCCGCTGGGGAAACTTGTCTCTCATCTCCTGCAGGCCATGGATTCAGCAACTCTGCTCCTCCTGGCTGTGCTGGCCATCCTGCCCAAGACGACACAGGATCCCCAGAGCGATGCGGTCAGCGCGCGGCGGATGACCGAGCGTGCGCTTTTTGTGGAGCAGAAGATGACGGAGCTGTGGGAGGAAGTCGAGTGGAGGAGGGCCCTGGACGATGTTCCACTCCTTTGGATCTTGCAGCACTGGCTCTTCTGGCTGGCTGCAGCAGCTGGGCTGGGCTGGCTGGCCTGGCAAAGGGAGGAGGCCTCTCGCCGGCGCCGTGAGCAAGAAGAGCTCAGCGCAGCAGCCGCTGCTGGCGGGCCTTTTGCAGCGCTCAGCCTGTCACCGCTGCAGGACCTGCCCTTCATGGGCCGGACCCTGAAGAAGCTGCTGCGGGACCTCCTGGAGGTGTGCCAAGTGCTGTCCCAGAACACCTTCATGCCAGAGCTGCACCTGGCCACTGGGCAGCAGGGCACCTGCATGGAGTCCTGGCGTGAGCTGGGGGACTGCACCGTCTACCAGCTGGTGCTCTTCCTCAGGCCACCCCCCTGGCACTCTTTCCGGCTGCAGCTGCCCGAGGCCATGGACGTGCCACACTCCATCCGTGTGCTGCTGGAGTGCTCGTGTTCCAGGACGGCGGGGAACATCTTCTGCTTTGTCCCCCCCACCTACAGCCATCAGCACTCGCCCCTCGTGCGCACCCTCTGCACAGACTCCCACTTGGAGGTGCAGAAGGTCGCCGGCTGGCTGCCCAGACTGGTGGAATCGGCCTGGGAGCGTTTGCCTCAGTGGCACGACTGGCAGCTCCGGCTGCTGCCCTCCTCCCGCTCCTGCAGGCTCCTGCTGACCGGCCCCGGCCAGGTGCAGCTCTGCGCTGTGCTGCTCTTGGCACTGCAGCAGGGCCGCCCGGGCACCTTCCTGCTCCTGGAATAGGCAGGCGCAGCTTTCCCGGGGGCTGCTTTGGGCCGGGGCTGCGCGGCGACTTGGGAGCGCACCCAGTCGGCACGGCACAACAGACCCTTGTGCTGACTGGACTGAAGAGCAGCACTCCTGGCTCTGTCTACTCCCAACTCCCCATGTGCCCTGCTCTGCCTTAAGCCCAGCTGCAAATGGAGCACCAGCAGCCACTCCCTCAACTGCCTTCCGTTCCCTGCCACCCTGGTGGAATGGGGGCAAGAATCCCAACTCCAACTTGGCAGAAAGTTAACTTTAAGACTACCCCCAACAATAGGTTTAGGAGTAAGTTTAAGAGTAAGTTTAGTTCCTAGGCATAATAATAGTCATAGTAATAGTAATAACTAGTTTAAGATAGATCATTTTAATAAGAATTTAGTTTTATAAAACTCTAAACAGTAAGGTAGATAACGTTAGCTCCCAGCTCCCCACGTCCCCTGTCCTGCTTTAATCCCAGCCGAAAATGAAGCCCCAGCAGCCACCCCCTCAAGCCCCTTCCCTTCCCTTCCCCGCCACCCTAGGTTCATAATAGCTTTCATTAGAACTTTAGTTAAGTTTAATAATTATAAGGGAAACATAGATAAGTTTATTACTAACAATTTAGTTTTAAAAAACTCAACCCCAAAACCTTTATAAGGGTTTCTAGTGAAAAGCCAAGTGGAGTTCAGTAACAGCGGTAATTAATAAGGGAGGGGATCACACCAAAGGCGAGGGAAAAGCCCAGACAAGTGGTGCCCAATAGAGCGGCTCCCCCACAGCTGAGCCATGCCACACCCCCCTTGCGGAACCCAGGTGGGCCTCCCTTCCAGCTCCCTCGCCCAGTTTCTAAGCTGGACATGACCTTGGGCGGTGTGCACCAGAAAGACAGAACGGAACAGTGTGCAAAGGCCCAGGGGAAAGCACCTAGGAAAGGGAGAAACCTGGACTAGTGTGAGAGAAAGGTCCCGGTCCTTCTGGTTGGACCTTCAAGCGTTCAGCCAGCAGGGCATCGCCCACAAGGTGCCTCAGTCCTGAGGCACGTGGCGTCCTGCTGCTGTCAAAGGCCCTCTCAAGGCGGCTGCTCCAGCACTCCTGGGGCAGCAGGACAAGCCGTCAGGCTCAGAACAGCCCGTGGAGCCTTGAGACCGAAGGCAGCAGCAGAGCAGCAACTGCACGGGGAACGTTCTCAGGTGCAGACACGGCGCAGCTGCTCGGGATCTACTGCGCCCAGAGCAGAAATAAAAGAAAGAGACGATCACACACGACTATTTGCGTGGTAATTCTACAAGGATCTCCCCGGCCCGCATAGCTTGGGAGGCAGGGATTGCCCACCCGCACTGGGGAGGGACAAACCGCTCTGGTGCGGCCGGAGCGCAAGGCCGAAACCCAAAGCC